GGCGGAGTGGTGGGGGGCGGCCCGAGGAGGTGGGAGAGGGTTCGGCCCACACTGCGCCTGGGCTGGGACTGGTCCCGCCGGCGCAGGGCAGCAGGAAGCAAGAGAGAACAATCTTTAAGGGTAACTACAACTATTTCCTCAGTACCTGCCTTGGGCACCCATGGTCACTGGGACAGGATCCCTGCCGCCTGCAGCTCAAGGAAGAGAGTTTCACTTTGCCTCATGTTCTGCAGGATTAAAGCAGAGGAGTGTGTGTGTGTGTGTGTGTGCGTGCACACTCACACCACAGCAGCCAGGAAGCTGAGAAAAGGGAGGCACACTCTGTAGATCACACGCATGACCTACCCTTATACCAGGCTCCACCTCCTCACAACACATTTAGCTGTGCCACGACATCTTCCAAAAACCCTACCTATGGCCCTTAGGGGCCACCCAGACGTAAGCCATAATAATGCATTATTTATGAAGGTGCATCTCCCCACAAAAAAAACCTGAGTGAAAAATATTCTCTTAATACAATAATCAAGATAAACTGTATCTTAAACTACATTTTCTTATATAGACTTGTATTTGAAGGGAACACGCTCATTTAGACCTGTGGGCATGGTCCCTTTGGCTATCTTAGCTCTCACTTTGTTAACAGACACCTTGATTTTCAAATCAGGCCTCATATGAATTTAATGGGTATGGAGCAGTTCTTCAGTAAATGATGGCCTAGCAGATGAAATCACAAGGTTAATTTAATGTGCCTGTCATGGTGCCTGATACACAGAAGCTTGCTAATATGTTTTCTCCTTCCTTCACTTGCAACTGTGTGAGACAAAGGACAACAGAACCACACAGGACAGGAATAATCTGTTGCTGATACTTTATTAACACAGTTTAATATAAAAGCATTTTGCACATCATCACAACAAATACTGAACATGGTTTTACAAAAGTTACAATTTTTATGATAAAAATATTCCCTAAATAGTATGACAACCCATCTATCAAGGCTGGGTGTAGAGTCCCATGCCTGTCTTACCAACTCTTGGGAGGCTCAAGGAGAAGGATCACTGTGAGCTCAAGGCTAGTCTGGGCTCCACAGTGAGTCCAAGTCCAGCCTGGACTACACTGTGAGAAACTGTCTCAAAAATACCACCCCCCAAAACAACAACAATAAAATGCCTGTCTTCTTTACTTCAATATAATAGCTAACAAATACTAGGGTTAGAATTTAACCCTAACACTTGAAAATTTGATTTTTTAGTTATAAATATAGTCTAATATACCAAAATGTTGACTAGCATTTCTGTTTTTTTTTTTTTTTTTTAGCAGCACTGAGGATTGAATTCAGGGCCTTGTGCATGCTCTATGACTGCGCTGAAGTCTCCCTGACTAACATTTCTATGTACTCAAAGAAGCCTGGTCAGATATACAGCCAGAATAACAAATTCAAAAGGACATACATTTCTAGTTATAGTTTTTAACTAGAAATATTACAGTAAAACTGGTAAAAACACAACTAACAGATATCTACATACCTGGAAAACTCTACATACAAAACAAATTTAGCTTCAGGTGGACATCACGTAGGTTTTAGGGTTAGTATACTGCTTTTATGTAGTACAGGAAGCTTTAGCATTGCCCTCATCTGGGAATTTCAGAGCTACAGGGAATACAGTTCAAAACACTAGCTTTATCCTTTTTCTCATGCTAGATCTCCGATGTTTCCCAACTTTTACAGTCTTCTAAAATCTTTGAGATTTTCTCTCAACAGCGCTGGATTAAATCTCTTCTATATATGACCTCATTCTTCTCGCATCTCCTCTGTTTGCAGAGAGCTGGTCAAAGTCTTGGAGGTGGAAACGAGCTGCCAACTGATTGACCATTTTCTTCAAGGTATAAAACGCTGAAATAACTTGGAAAGTAAGGAAGATAGTGAAGATGATATGCATTGCTTTTTCCAAGGGCAGGTTCGTTAGGCTTTCATTCAACAGCAAGAAAAGAATTAAAGGCAACTGCAGCAGAAGGCTCAAGAGCCAAAAGCCTGCCAGTTCAGGTACCTGCAAAGACACACAGCAAGAGCCCTGAAATTAGGGCTGGGGCTGTGACTCGGGTGGTAGAATACCTGTCCGGAATGTGGGACACCCTGGTTTTGATCTTATCCCCCCAAAAGAGACTAATGAGATCAGTAAATAGTTTTTGTTTTTGCACATAAATACTCTGGACTACTGTGAACCAATAGTGGGTTCTGTAATTCAAAAGGAGTGTGACATGGTCCTTGTCCTTAGAGAATATGCTACCTAGACAAGAAAGTTAATTTTGTGTGAATCAGTCCTATAGTACACTTCGGTGAATGTTATGGTTTCTGTCTAGCTGTCCCCCCCAAAGCCTCAAGTAAGTCATGGAGTAGACTTGGCTCCAAGAGCAGCGAGTGGCTTGAGGGGCAGGGCCACAGGACAAGGGTGGGGATAGAGTGGCAGAGCCAGAGAGGAGCAAACAATTAAACTGGCAGCTCTCGCTTCCCCCAGGCTGAGGCCTCTCGGAGGTGTGGAGCAGGTCATCCAGGACATAGCAGTGCCCCAGCCTCTCCTCCAGACCCTGTAGTGCCAAGTGGTGGCGTTCAGAGACACTGACCCTTTCTCCTGAGTAAATAAAGGTCCGAGGTCTTGCTATGTAATTCAGGCTGCTTTAAACTATGAAATCTCCAGTAAGCATGAGCTAAATAAACCTTTCCTTCCCTCATTTTGAGTATCGGGTATTTGTCCCAGCAATGAGAGAAGAGTAACAAGACAGTGAATAATTAAAAGGAGTATTTAGAGGTATAAAGTAAGTGGTACAAGAAATATGGGAGTGTTAAAGCAGATGAAAGAAAGACTTCAAGAATGTATATAGGCTTGGGCAAGAATGTAGCTTAGTGGTATAATGCCTGCCTGGCAAGCACAAGGTTCTGGATTCAATTCCCAGTACAAAAAAAAAAGATATATATAGGCTTTTATAGAGGAAGAAGGTAAATATACAAATGAAAGCAGCAAGATTGGGAATCAACACATCAATCTGGAGTAGATGGGTTAAGAAATGGCAGGAAATAACAGATTTGCTGGGTGTAGCCTAATTACAAAGGGCCCACACAACCACAGAATTACCCTGACTCCTTGGTAACTCTAAGTGCTTAGGCAGCGTGGTGATTCAGAAAACATGGGCCGGGCATAGGAAATGACTTTAATTTTCCCCTCTGCTTATTCAGGATCCAAAGAGATGAGTTTAATTGACTAAATTTTTTGAAGACTGATAAGAGGGAAAACTATCAATTCTTAAATGCTTCACAATATGCACTTCAGGTACTTTATATAAATCATTTCACTTAATCTGAATAAATGTTTGGAATAAACATTATTTTCCTCCTCTTACAGATTACTTTTGTATGAAGTAGCAGAAGCTCAAGACATTAAGCAAAGAGATTATAGTGACCCAAGTTTGGAGCCAGGACCTACAGAGGCTCACCCGTGCTCTTTCCACCGCTCACTGCCTCTCACTGGCCTGCAAAGGCTTTTGTGTGCAGCACTGAGATGACGGGAAGGAAGCAGAGCCTACCTTCTCCTGCAGGTTACCCATGTAGCCCAGGTACAACCGGATAGCTTCAATTAGGGTTACGAGGACGATAATAGTGATCACAATGAATTTGTAGTAATCAGGCAAGAATGAATACTAAAAACAAAACAAAACAAAACAAAACCCGTTTGTAAACTCTTACACAGAGTAGCACTGACCTGAATAGGCAAACACTTTGTAAGGACTGTTAATTTTATTAATAATGTAACATTATTAGGGAAGGGCATAAGTGGCCTCAGCAACAATAAAACCATAGACATACCTTCATATGAAGCATCATAATGGCGGCCACCCACCAAAGTGGGAAAAAGTAAGTGTTAAAATAAAGTGACATCTGTAGGGCCAAATTGGAGCTCATTTCATTATCTACAGAAGAAAAAGGAACACACTCTTAATTTCTTCAGATCCTTTCATTTTTGAGAATTAATAACTATTATTGATTCAATAAAACTCCAAATTTTAAGCCTACTTATAATTTTTGTTTGTTTTAAAACAGGAACTTACTATGGTTAAAGTGGACTTAAACTCACTATGTAGTCCAGGCTGTTCGAAAACCCACGGCTGATCCTACTGCCTCAGGGCTGGGATTACAGGCCTGCACTACCACGCCCAGTTTTTTTTTTTTTTTTTTTGTACTGGGAATAAAACTCAGGACCTTGTGCTTGCCAGGCAGGCACTGTGCCACTGAGCTGTATCCCCGATTATCATTATTGACAATGAAAAGAATATTTACCCTAACACCTTTTAGTTCAAATAATGGTTACCTGGGGATGTTTTATATTCTTCAATTACTTTGTTACTTTGCCATGATAGACTGCTGACATTGTGCACACTACTGGCGTAAATTAAATTTGGATTACCAATATGAATTCTATTGAACAGACAATAATTATCATTGTCTCCTTCACAGAATTCTATGTAAAGATACTATAAAATAAATGTATAAAAATAAAAATATTTCAGATAAACTCACATAAAAACTGATTTCAAATTATACATACAGCCCTCTTCTTCACTATACCCTAAGCCTACATATTCTTTACTGTCCAGTCCCAAGCGTCCTTTTCCAGAGATCTCTTTCTGCAGTGCTGGCAAAGGGCTCCCGTCACACCACACAGTCCAGGGCACTGCAGAGACCGTGGCCTCGAGAGTCCAAGTGAACCTGGTTACCAGATTTCAGGTAAATTACTTAATCTGTTTGAGCCTTCATTTCACCACTGGTAAATGGTAACTACCTCACAGGCTGCTTGTGAAGACTAGTGGTAATACAAATTATTTCACCCTAGCAGCACCTAGCACACTTAATTGGTGCTCAATAAATATTAGTCCTCTTTTTTTCCTTTTATACATATACGAAGGGTGATCAAAAACTGTGGTTGATGTTTAAATTAAAAACATTATAGGAGAAGACACATTGCCATGAATGAGGGTGTGCGTATAAAGCATTAGACTCTCATAGAACCTAGCATCTTGTCTTATGTTGTGAATGCCAAATATGAATAACAGAAAAAAATGAACTGATGAAAGCATACCGTCATAAGGATATCAACAATACAGCTATTTATAATACATGAACTTCATTTACCTAAGGTTGATCACATAACTTTTGCTTTCATGTAAAAGGGGCCTAAATTAAGAATTTGAGTTTTAGAATTGAGCCCTACAAAACACATTCTAAATTTGAATTAACATATATTTTGAAATCAATTGCTTTAAAGATTTAATATATTATATATTTAATAATATATTATTAAAAACTAATATAAATATAAATTTCTTAAAAATTTTTTTTTTCCTGGTGGAACTGGGGACCGAACTCAGGCCCTCATGCTTGCCAGGGAAGCGCTTATTCCACTGAGCCATCTCCCTGGCCCCTTAAAAATATTTTTCTCCACAGCTGAGTATTTGTCATTTAATAATTCTGAAATGTCAGAATCATGATCTATTATAGAAAAATGATTTCTTTAGCTCCAAGAACATGCACCATTATTATGATCATCTTTTGCTCATACCAATTTATGAGACTGCCAGTGATAAGAGTCTTAAACTATTAAATTTGAACACAACTCATCATCCTTGTGTTTTTTCCATGATAGTATAATTCTTGGTTAGCCATGGACATAAAAATTAACTTATTTTTACAGTATAAGTAATTACTACTATTTCAGATCAACAAAGACAATGTGGACAAATAATGAATTTATTAAGCTGAAAATTTTATTACCTATGGAGTATAAACTATATTCAAAACTTTGCTGGGGTCAACGAGATAGCTCTGTGGCCTAACGTGCCTGCTTATGAAAGCTTAAGCAAAAGTGCAGGGGCACTGGTTCCATCCCTGGCACCACATGCTGTGCCAGCCCCGCCCCTAGGGCTGGCTGAGTGGGACACACACATACAAATAAATAAATAGAAAAAATAAAAACTTTGCAAAAATCATTTTTAATATTAGAAATCTTTTACATGAACATGTTGAGCCAAGTCCATTATTTCAGCAGATCAAATTTATAATCATGCAATTAAAATCAATAAATTTGAAGGCATAAATTCATTACATTTTATAAAAAGGGTAGGCCAATTGTTGGCCAACCATATATGTTTTTATTTTATTTTTATTTATTTATTTTTTTGGTGGAACTGGGGATTGAACTCAGGCCCTTGTGCTTGCCAGGGAAGTGCTTATTCCACTGAGCCATCTCCCCAGCCCCCATATATGTTTTATAAAAATCAACCAATTATTTGATACAGGGTCTTGCTATATAGTTCAGACTCGTAGTGATCCTTCTGTCTCAGCCTCTGCAGTGCTGGGGTTACAGGTATGCACCACCATGCCCAGTTTTGGGGCTGGGACAATGAGCCAGGAGTTCTGGAGCCAGCACTGCATGCAGTACCTGGGGATCAAACTCAGGACCTTGCTCTTGCCAGGCAGGCATTTCTGTTGCTGAGTTCTCTCTCCAGACCCCAACTATATTTTTTTTGCAGAACCGGGGATTGAACTCAGGCCCTTGCACTTGCCAGGGAAGCGCTTATTCCACTGAGCCATCTCCCGGGCCCAATTGTATATTTTTGTCTAGGTGGAGAGCTAATTTTTTTTCTTGTGTTCAAATGTTAAAAAAAAAAAAAAATTCTGTGACATGTGAAAACCATGTGAAATTCTTCAGGGTCCATAAAGTTTTACTGGTAGGCAACCAATGCCCACTAAATGACTTGTCTATAGCTGCTGCAGAAATCATCCTGTTTCCAAAATCTAGAATATTTATTACGTGGCCTTTTCAAGTAAAGGTCTGCTGATCCCTAATACTTTGCTTCATAAGATTTTTGAGTCTGTATCTCACTCTCAGAAATAAGAAAACCCAATTTTCACCTTTTTCTCTGCACATCCTAAATTATAAAAAGGTTTACATTTGGGGATTAGTCCAATGATCAAGGTGACAAAATGCAACTATGCTTTTGGCTTGCTTTTCTCTACCCCCATCCCTGCCCCCTCAGAAAGCTTTAAGAAACAGGCAGAGGAAACGAGTTCTATTCAACCATGGAGGTCAATGATGAAAACCACAGATGTTTGGTTAACAGTATGCCGGCTCATTATTCCAAAGGTACAAACAGTTTTGTACCAAACTGCATTATCCACTATATTGGATGCAGCATCCTTACATCGTGGTACTGTTACCAGATTAGGGGAAAAAGTTTTACATAAAAAAGCAGGGAAAGAGTAGAATTTGGCGGGCATCATTTGAATGGATAGCGGTTTATAATGACTCATTTAAAAGCTTTCCCCAATTTCTTCTGCTGGAAAACGGCTTCAGGAGGAACGTAATTCTGCGAGGAAAAGAGAAAAGGTAAAGCTATTTTGCCAGGGTTGAGGATGTGGGCTCAGGATGGGGATGGCTGTTCACTCCATCCTGTCGGGAAAGCTAGGGCGGGCAATGTAGGAAAATCAACCTCGGCCTTCACGTACTGGTGTGCTGCGCAGGCTTTTCTAATTCTTACTGAGTGGTGTCTAAAGCACCACTGGGCCTCACGGGGCGGGAGTAAAGTTGGCATCACCTCGGCTGCCGCGTTTGCAACTTGGCCCACGGCCAGGTGGCACAGCACCGGGCCAGGCTGGGGTAGGGCCTGAAAGGGTCCCAGCCTCCGCCCCCGGCCCGGCTCCTCCCCCGAGGAACTCGCCGCATTGCGGAGAGCCGCCTGAAGGCGACGCCGCCATTTTTAATCTGGGCACAATCTGACCGCTCCGACACGCGCGCGGGCCACACTCTGCGCCGGGCTTCGGCCACTCACCCGAACCCTCACTGTACTCCGGCCCGGTCCGGCTGGAGTCGCGGAACACAGTTCGGCTGAAGTTTCCCAGCCGCTGACGTACTTGATCCGGCAGCTCCATCCCCGGGCCGCAGTCTCCCCAAACAACTGCAGTTCTGAAGGCGCAGCCGCGCTCTGCGGTTCCCAAGGCAACCGGACGGCGCAAGGCGCGGCGGGACGCGAGTGCGCGCGCGCGCGCGCCTGGTCCGCGCCGCCGAGTCCCGGACCTGGTCTGAGCCTTGGTCCTCATAGCGCTGGCCTCAGCTCGGCTGTCTTTAAGCGAATCAGAAATGATGATTAGCCACCTGGGGCTGGAATGCAGGGCGAGCATCCGCGCACCTTTCTGGAGAAAAGTGTAGAGTTCGTAGAATACTGGCTTCAAAGAAAGATTGAATGGAAATAATCCGAAACTCTTAACAGTAGTTATTTCTACGCAGTCCGGTTATGGGGGTTACGCACTTTAAAAAAAAAAAAAAAAATGTATTTCCCAGCTTTCTCTAAATTAAGATGAATTAGTCTTTTTAAAAACTCATTTAAGGGTGTGGTGGAGCAGGCCTGTAATCCAAACGTTCTGGTTGGCTGAGGAGGGAAGGATCGACAGGTTGAAACCATCGTGGGCGACTTTGTAAGACCCTATCTCAAAATAGAAAAACATTCAACGGAGCTGGGAGCATACTTCAGCGCAGAGGCCCAGGGTACAATCCCTAACACCTCAAAGGAAAAGCAGCAGAAGAAACCCGATCCATGTGTAATAAAGAGAGTATGTAACAAACAGGACACGACAGTGGGTCAGTATCCAGATCAAGAGACGGAACCTTCCCTGAACCCCCCGCAAGCTCCCTCTTCCTATTTCCTTTCATTCTCTTCATAGCACAGTGATTTAACCTGTTTTATGCTATTTATTTATTATACATGATACAGGGTCTTGCTACACTGCTCGGGCTCACAGTGACTCTCCTGTTTTCAGCCTCTCATCGCTGGGATTACAGGTATGCGCCACCACGCCCAGTTTTGCTGGCTGGCACAGTGCGCCTAGGTTCTGGGGCCAGACCTACTATCAAACTGCGGACGTTGTACTTGCCAGGCAGGCCCTTCTGCCGCTGAGCTAGCTCTCTAGCCCTATGCTTTATATGTAAATAATCCCAGGGTAAGAAGTTTTTGGTTAAAAAGAAAAATCTGGCATTTTCTCCTCAACATTAGTTTCACGACATTCCTTCATACTGTTGAATTTAGACTTTTTTTTCCTTCTTGTGTGATGGTACCAAAATAAGTTTTCTATTAATGTACATTTGTATATTTTTCAGTTAGGAACAGTTATAAACAGTGCTGCTTTTGATGAAAAAAAATGTCTCGTGGTGAGCATGTGAATTCATTTATGTTGAATGTATTCTAGAAGTGGAATTTCTGGGTCAGAGGATAAGAAAGACCCAGTCTTACTAGATATTGTTAACATTTTCCCAAAAAGATCGCACCAATTCTTACTGCTCAGGCAATGGGCGAACATTTCTGTTATCCCATGCACCTCATCAACACTTGGTGGTTTCCATCCTTTCCTTTCTAGCCTTTCTATTGGATGTGGTGAACAGAATGGTTTTTACAACCACAAGCAAAGATCCTATATAGATAAATAGACATAGATATGTAGATACGTGAAGAGGCAAGTGTAGGAGGAAAGAGCATTGTGGCTAGAATTTCAAAATAATTCAACAAATGTCTATTGCATTTCTGTTACTTTTTTGGGCATCGTACCAGGATAATTAGGGTTAAGGTCTCTCCCCATTAAGCGGGAGAGACAGAAACAAGTAAGTATAACACACTGTAGTAAGTGCTGTAATAAAAGAACACCGATGAAGAAGTAATTAATTATATTTTGGAACCCACAAAAGCTTCATTTTGTTTCATTTCAACATAGAGGTTGGCCCTCAGCATCTGCAAAAAGGCTTTCAGGAACTGCTTGAAGCAGGTTGAGGTAACTTCTTTGCTTTTTGAAATCATTTTCCTCTTATTATTTTGGTCACAGTAATGATAAATCTGTACTGTAATTGTCTATGTATTTAGGTATGTATGTATGTACTTAGGACAGAACCTAGGGACACACTATCCTTGGGTCCTTTAAAAAAATTTAACTTTAATGTAGGGTCTTCCTGGGTGGGGAGATAGCTTGGTGGTCTAAGCATCTGCCTGGCAAGTGCAAGGTCCTGGGTTCTATCCCCAGTTCTGCATGCTGTGCTGGCCCCAGAACCATGGATGTGTTGTGCTGGCCCTGAAACTGGACATGGTGGCACACACCTGTAATTCCAGCACTGGGGATGCTGAGAAAGGAAGATCACTATGAGTCTGAGCTGCATGGTGAGGCCATGTGTCAAAAAAAACCAAGCCAAAACAAACAAAAAAAGAAACCCCAGAAAAACAAAAAACGAAAATGGGTTGTCTCAGTTACTCTTCTCTCATAGCTGGGACAAATACTTCACACTCTAAATGAAGGAAGGAAAGCTTTATTTAGCTCATAGTTACTGGAGGTTTCAGTCTGTACTCAGTTGGCTCCAAGGCAGAGTGGCACATGGCAGAGAGCAACCTTTCATGGTGGCAAAGAGCAGAGCAAAATGGAGAAATAGCAACAACAATGGCATCACAGAGCAAGTCTGTCTCCCTTAAGTTGCATTCAGGCTATCTGCTGGAGGCCAGGTATAGCACTCAAACCCATAATCCCAGCAGCACTCACACCCATAATCCCAGTGGGTCATGAGTTAATCACAAACTCTAGAAGTCTGCCCCATGACTGCATGAGGCTTTGGGGGGACAGCTAGGCACAAGCCATAACATGGAGTCTTCCTAAATTGCCCAGCTTAGCTCAGATTTGTGTTTCTCCTGCCTCAGTCTCCTGAGTTGAGGTGGTATTAGAGGCATATGCCACCATGCCCAACATGTCTTTCTCTCATGCTTGTCTGTAAGCTCTTTGAGGTCAAGGCTGGGTTTTCATCTGATGATGCCTGGCCTAGAATTAGAGCCGAATGACTATTGAGTGAATTAAAGGAAGAAAAGTTCTAATGATCTACCCTACACTCACCTTCATCTTAACTGAAGGATTTACCCAGTTTTTGTGTAAGGTTCACTCTGTAGAATGGAGGACTGGATGGATGGATTAAAATCCAGTGAGTTACAGCAATCAAAAGTAAACTTAATAAATAAATGCTAACAACCAAGAATCACTTTTCATTAATTAAGTGAACCAATATTTTTATAAAGGGCACAATGGGGGCTAGGGAGATGGTTCAGTAGAATAAGTGCTTCCCTGGCAAGTGCAAGGGCCTGAGTTCAATCCCTGGTTCCACCCCCCCCAAAAAAGGGCACAATGATGCTTGAAGCCTCATGCTCTTCTGATTTAATTGTGAGTTCAATAGCTCTGCTGAACCAATTGATAACATATACAAATAGCCTTAAATGTGTTCCTCACTTTAAAAAAATAACTGAAATTTTAGGGTTCTTGTTAGGGGAAATAATCATAGAAACTAAGCTTTACCTGCCAGGATGTTACTTCCAACACAACTAGTATTAGTTTGGAAAGGAAAGAAGGAGGAGGGATTGGAGGTGCTCAGTCATAAAGACTGTAAATAGCAGAGCCTGGTACACAGGGTGAAGTATTAGGTTGTTGTGGACAGAAAACTCTTGGAAGCAAAGAAGGATGCTTCATATCCCCTAAAACTTTTAATTATTTAATATAAACCTTATTTTATAAATAGAGAAGTGTGATATCTGTTTGCATAGTATGAAGATTATATCACTGAATAAAACTATCCGTGATACTTGTCATTTATAATCTATTAAAATAATGTTCATGAAGAAGAACTGTCCCGAACCAGCGGGTCAGTCAACGAAGGTCACCTGGGAGAGGAGCGGGGAATTGAGGAGGGGACAAAGGACAGGAGACCCAAGAAATGGAGACAAGACAGGGTTCTGATCAAGTCTCTCAAGTCTCGTTTATTCAGGGGAGGTGCTGGGTATATATAGTGGAGGTATAGGGAAATGACGTCGGCGGGTAAAGGCTCGAGTAACTAGGCAACCGGGCTATGACAGGAAGTCTTGGGTCTTGGTGGTCGGCAGGTATCTAGGCAACAGAGGAAGGTGCCACCCCTGGGGCATAGCACGTGATTCATGGGGAATGGGCAAGGTGGGAAGGACCATAAACTTAACTCAGGAGGGGAATAGAAACTTAAGAAAACAGCTGACACTATTATAAAATGGATACCAGTTAATGGCTTCCCACAAAGACCCATCTATAGTAGAGCCAAATAATGTTAGCGTTTAAGTTTTTAGATTTCAGTTGTGCCTATTAGGTAATATGTCTATTGTTGTCCTATTCTATGCATGTTAACCAAATTTATGAAAAACTAAGTGAATTCTTTAAAAGATTCTTTTTTTTCTACATGAAACAAAGGTGTAAAATGTCTTATACAGAGTGTAATTATTTTTTACCAAAATCCTGGAGGAAGAAATTGATAGAATTATGAATATTTTCCTTCTGATTTTATTATTCTGATTTCCTAATGTACATATTCATTTCATAGCTATAAACAAATCTTATTAAAAGAAATTGAGAGCCTGGTACTTGGGAGGCTGAGACAGAAGGATTGCTTCAAGTTTGAGCCCAGGCTGGGCTACAAAGTGAGGTCAAGGCCAGCCTGAACTGCATAGTGAGACCTTGTCTCAAAAAGACAAAAATAAATAAATGAGTAAATTGAGAGGAAGGGGTCATGATGATCAAAAAATGAATTAGAGAAAGGATTCTGAGAGGAAAGCAGTGTGGTTTGGAAAGAGCGATGCCATTACTGGTGACAAATGGCCCAAAACTTTCCAAATATTATTTTGTTAGTTGACGTTCACAACTTTTATAAGCAGTCACAGTTGTGAAATTTTGAATCCCACAGGAGGGGATCCACTTTCAGGAAATCAGAAGACCAGGAGAATTTGGGTTGCCTGTCACGTAGCCCTCGTACTCACTCAGAATCTAAGAGAAGCTGTGGAGCTCTGTTCTTGAAGTCATGGGGATTGTTCTCAGCAAACCTGCTGTCCTCCATAGGGCAGTGCCCTCTCCCCGTGTGTCATTGCAGTAGCTGGAGAAAGGGGCCATTGTGGC